GAACTCATTTTGCAAGAAGGGAGAATACCATCTTATCTCTGCAGACAAGACCCTCCTCTCTCTCTCTCTCTCTCTCTCTCTCTCTCTCTCTCTCTCTCTCTCTCTCTCTCTCTCTCCTGTCTGCGTATTTTATAGCCGTCATCCGTGGCGCGCACCCACCCTCCGTCTCCACCAACAACAGAGCTCACAGTTCGGTGGGGCTCAGACTTCACATGCGGGCGAGCYTTTTCTGATGACAAGACCAGAGCAGCAGAGAAAAGGAAAAGAAAAAGAGAGAAAACAAGAAGTATTCACTGACTGCCAGCCGTGGAGCTGTAGCTGTTTTCACCCAAATCCAAACATTTCTGCGCCTTTAGGTAAGAGATTCATTCACAGCCTGAAATCCTGAGAGGAAACACTTATTAGTGTGAGCAGCAGTGKATGTGCTGCTGATTGTAGGCTACTAAAAAATGTTAGATTACAGGCAGCTAATATCACTTAAATGCAGTAGGGTGCAGATTTATCCATCTTTTTGTGTGCCATATTTAAATTAACAGATTTTTCTCTTTAATTTGGGCACCACTTCAGTTTTTTCTAACTCAGTCTAATCTATTCTGACCTTGATGGTGAAACAAAACAGTTCAGATTAACAAACCTTTCACCCAGATTTTTTTCCCCACTTGATAAACCAAAAATTAAACTTGTTTTCTTTCTCTCGTTCTAAATATAATTTGTCAAAAATGATCAATTCTGTATTTTTTTATTATTATTTGTTTTTGCCTCTGCCATGAGGAATCTGTCCACATTGTTTATTTAAACAGATGTTGACTAAATGTTCCAGGGCACACCCGACTCTAGTTTCAACACTAGAACCGACAAGAACGACTGGGAAACTGGGATTCTGGAGAGGAGCAGAAAAGTCACAGCCAAGTCTGAGGTGAGAATAAATTAAAGATTGAATATGAAACAAAGAGTAAGACTGTATTATATATGTTTCAGATGCATAGTTTAATTCTATACCACAGCCAAGTAACCATGTTACCTTCATATTCCAAAAACTAAATCTGATTTTGCATCATATCGTAACGCTTTGAAATAGGCCTCTGCTTCTTTGAGAAGCTCCTACCGTTTGAGACATTCCCACTTCAGCACGTTTTAAAACAGTGCTTTGGGGGCGTGGTGCTATGTGGGGCGGGAGCTCGGCTGCAGACTGATCTCTAGGGAGGTGCTTTGTTCCAAGCATGTAGGCAGGAAGTGCCTAGTGTTTTTTGTTTTTTTTTTACTTTTGCCTAATACCACTCCTATGAAGTGGGGGTTCTGTGGAAAAGCAACAAACAGTTAATATCTTGACTGTTGTAGATCACTCTTTAAAACAGAGCTTATTTGATTGAATGGATGAGCTAATTGGCTAATCTGATCAGAGTCAATAAAATGATGCACTGTTGTCCTAAAACAACTCCAAATGTAAAATTCATTGTCGTTCGTGCTAATTCTCAACCGCTGCTGTTAATTTTGTGTGGCCCAATTATTTTATGGATTTTGATGCTCATTTGCAAGTGCTAATCGCTGCAGAAGCTATCTTTTTTTAATCTTCCATCTTTAATCATAGAGCAGCTGAGGAGACATTTGTTTCCCTTGAGACGATCAGGTAATAACTCACATTTCTGCTTTTTTGAGGGTTACGTCCACTTAGTAGGAGGTGTCAGAGTGAGGTTCGGGACCAGGTCCAAACCACCTTGGTGAAACCGTTGAGGTGTCCAAACCTGTATTTAGTGYGCTCCAAGTGCAATTCAGTCGCTAAAGATGGATTTAAATATGAGGTCTGAACGAGTTCAAAGAGATCAGTTAAAATCTATCTCTCCAAATGGAGGCTTTTCAAAAAGCTATCTATAGCAGGTAAGATAGTAACTGTYCACAGAACTCCACTTAATATCTGAACTGTCGCTTTAAGAGTGTTTGTTTCTTTCCAGCAGGTAACTTTAAAGGAGACGTCGCTGCAGKAATGGAAGACTACAACTACACCTATGAAAATGATCTGGAGTACGGCGACTACGAGGAACTCAAAGCCAGCAGCGAGCAGACAAACCCCATCCACATCGTCTCTGTGGTGGTCTACATCATCATCTTCGTGCTGGGTGTGATCGGAAACGGAACGGTGATTTGGGTGACGGCGTTCAAAAGCAAAAGGACGGTCAACAGCGTGTGGCTACTCAATTTGGCCGTGGCAGACTTTGTGTTTGTGCTTTTCCTGCCTTTCTACATCGACTACATCCTGAGGGACTTCCACTGGAGCTTCGGCGTGGTCATGTGTAAGATGAACTCGTTCGTGTCCGTGATGAACATGTTCGCCAGCGTCCTGTTCCTCACGGTGCTCAGTGTCGACAGGTACGTCTCGCTGGTCCACCTGAACTGGTCTCAGAGGCACCGCACCGTGGCCGGCGCCTGGCTGGTGTGTGCTTGCGTATGGGTGGCGGCTGCRATACTGAGCTGCCCCGCGCTGGTCTTCCGTGACATCATGCGCTTGCACGACAAGGTGGTGTGCTTCAGCAACTTCCACACGCATGACCAACACAAAGCAGCTGTAAGACACATCACAATAGTGGTGATCCGGACGTCGGTGGGCTTTCTGTTGCCGTTTACGGCCATATGTGTGACGGGCGTGCTTCTGTCGACGAAAGTGAAAACATCCAGGGGATCGGTTCGCGTGTCGAGCTTCTCCAAAATGGTCACTGCTGTAATTCTGGCCTTCTTCCTGTGCTGGGCGCCCTTTCACGTGTTCAGCTTGATGGAGTTGACCATACATTCCTCGACTTACCTCCTGAAACTTTTAAGGGACGGCTTTCCTCTTGCCACCAGCTTGGGCTTCTTTAACAGCTGCATGAACCCCCTGCTGTACATGCTCCTTGGCAAAAAGGTGCGGACCATCCTGAAGCGCGCGTGCCTCAACCTAACCAAGAGTTCGCTCCGAGAGCTCAGCCAGTCCATCTCTGCCACCGAGGTAGAGTCTGTGCCGGGAAATCCTCAGGACAGTGGCGCAGAAGTCATCCTGGCCTCATCCACTCTTTGATAACGACCGCCCACAGCTGCGCGGGAAGTGGAAGAACAAGAGACCCTTCTAATTGTTTTAAGTTTTACAGTCCACGTCAAGGTTTTAAGCAGATTTTGCACGAATGTGTTGAAGACAACGCTCAGCTACCACATCAAATTTTAGCTCAATATCCATCACATTTAATGAGTTATATGTTGAGTCCGTCGTAGATGTCAGCTCTGTTGTTACTTCCTGAGAGTTTCATCAAAATCAGCCCAGCAACACAGACAAACTAACAGAAACATCACTGGTTTGCCTTGGCAGCGGGGTAATAACCATCCACAGATGGGCTGACTTGATAATGAAAAAAGTAAGCTGTGCACATTCCAGCCATAGTGTTAAGATTTGCCTGTTTTGTTCCCTTTGGACAGAGTCACGCCCACATCCTCTGACAATTACTCTCACTGGAAAAGCTGAACAGAACCGAAGATGCTTTCATTCAAACCAAGATATTTGCACAGAAAAAAATTAATCTGGGTTCAGTCGTTCTAAATAATGATCTTTCAACACATTTTTAAATAATGCTTCAACAATTTGAACTTATTTTATACAAGAATTTGCTTTTTTGTCCTCTGAATATAAATGTTTATTCACAAAATCTTTATCTAACTTTCTTTCACAGCTAAGATTGAGACAATATTGTTGGTCTAAGCTCCTGATTAAAGCCATGTAGCATTTTTAAACTCGTGTATCAACAAAATGAATACTGAACAGGTTACACTGGTTTTTCAAAGTGAAATGTAAGACGGATTTGTAATTGGAGCACATTATGCTTTTAAAAGTTTATGACTGCCAAGACTATCTCGACTGTTAATGTATGCAAACTCTTTAAAGTAAAGAGCTGAATAAATATTTTATTCAAATGTATTTATCATAAAAGATTCTATATCTTAATAAATCTGTTTTTATGAATTGCACTGTAGTCTGTTTGTGTAGCTTGTGTTACCTTTTAAGGCCCATTTGACCAAATTGTGAGTAGAGCTGGGCGATATGGATGAAACGTGTCATGATATACTATAAAAGCTGACAGATTCATCCTGTTTAGATTATGTCATATCCTAGAATGAGAAAGCTACGAGCAATGTTATATGTAAAATATGTTAATTTTAAATGGTTATTTTGTATTTTTTTTGCAGAAACCAACTTATAGTGTAGTGCTGAATATTAAACATCTACATCAGACAGCATACGGTTTTTGATACGAAACAGAAAAAACAAGCACGATGAATAAGATGTGCCTGTAACAAATCTCTCAATAACAAGGCAGCAGGTGGTTCCTGTGCTGCACAAGGTGCTTTTATTTAAACTTGAGCACCTGCCTCGCTGCTCTCTGAGTGATTCTGCTTTTTTTTTTTCATTAACTACACTGAAAAATGGGAACTGGCAGGTATTTGCATTTGCACAAACAAATTTTGTAATTTACACATAAGCCATTCATGTTTATTTTATGTACATGATTGAATGAAGTACCATTTCCTTAATTACCAACAATACTGAAATTACTCAGTTTTATTGCATTGATTTAAAGTGACTGTAAAACCACTCTAATCAACTTTGTTCACCTCCAGAAATGATACAATATATTGAAAGATGGCAATTAAATTTGACTGGACAAGATAGAGTCTTAACCAACAGGATGCCAATCAACATAATGTTAAGGAGAGTGCGACTGACCTCTCGCATTCTTTGCCATTTTTGTCAGTCATTTTTTATTTAATTTATATTTTGAACATCAGCAAGAAACCAAGGACTGAATATTAAAGTTAACTTAAGATATTTAAGTAAGGTTGAAAGACATAATGGCAGCAAAGTTGGTAGAGCTGTTGGCTCTCAGTGAGAAGGTTGCTAGCTCAAATCTGGCCAGGGACTTCTTTGGGTAGAGTTTGCATGTTTTGCCTGTACATGTGTGGGTTTTCTCTGGGTACTTCAGTTTCCTCCCACACACAAAAACATGAATGTTAGGCTCCAAATTGTCTGCTAGGTGTGAGTGAGTGAGTGAATGGTTGTTTGTCTCTATGTGGCGCTGTGATGGACTGGAGGTCTATTTGGGATGTCCACCCCTTGCACAACGACTGCTGGATGTGATACCTCTGACTCTGAAAGGAAGAAGTGAGTAAAAAGGTAATTGATAAAGCCATAAATTGTGAAGCAGGAATATAATTACATTGCTTTTGCATTACACTGTACAGCGGGTAAAATAAGTATTGAACACGTCACCATTTTTTTCAGTAAATATATTACTAGAGGGGCT